AAAAAAAAAAAAAGAAAAAAAAGAGACCGCAGCAAACCGAAGTTTCCGCGGTGTGGTTGTGTGTATGTGTGTGCGTGTGTCTGCGCGGCGCGCGCGTGAACAATGGCACAGTACGCATCCACCTCGTCAGTAAGCCGATCAACGCCGGCCGCACATCGTTACGACGACCAAGGCGGTGGCGGAAGCGAGGACTCTGGACGGCAGGGCCGGCAGGGCCAGCAAGGCCAGCAGGGTCAGCACAAGCGAGTCTACCAGGCATGCATACCCTGCCGTCGCCGCAAGGTCCGCTGCGACCTGGGCAGCGTGGACAACCCGAGCGACCCCCCGTGCGTGCGCTGCCGTCGCGAGTCGAAGGAGTGCTTCTTCAGCGCGACCAGGCGCAAGCGCAAGACGGACGACGCCGACGCCAGCGACGCCGACGAGTACACCGTCCGGAACGGCAGGAAGAGGGCCAACAACGGCAACGACGACGACACCTCGCCCGTCCCCGTCTCCGTCACCCTACCCGACCACCACCGCCACCACCACCACCACCACCACACCGCCACCGCCGGCGGCCACCGCAGGCAGCACAGCGACGGGCCCCTCACCCCCGGCGGCTCCCACGGGAGGACTCAGCCGCTCGTCCGGCCCGGCAGGAGGAGGACCGGCAGCAGCGTCCGCGATGCGAGCGAACTTGGCGGCGGCGACGACGACAACCAGCACATGGAGAATCCGGATGCCCAGAACGTCATGAGACCTCGCGTCTACGGCCTGCATGACGCCCTGGATCTCCTGTACAAGGCTGCTACTGATACGAGACACAAGTGAGCCTCTCATCCCCATCTCTCTCTCCCCCTCTCTCCCCCTCTCTCCCTCCCTCCCTCCCTCTCTCTCTCCCTCCCTCCCTCTCTCTCTCTCTCTCCGTCTGTCTGTCCGTCACGAGAAGAAGAGGCAGAGGGGGGGGTGGAACGGAACGAGGGCTGACCGACCTACCACAAGCTCCGTCGATCCCGTCGGCTCGTCCAGCAACGACGGCACCTCGAGAGCCGCACCCGGCGATCCTATGCCCCCGCGACCCAGTATAGAGAACACCGCCGCCTCCAGCAGGGCCGGCCACCACGCCAGACGACGGACCGCGCCGAGCGCCGGCGTCGGCGGCCAGCACCGTCCTCACCACCCGCATCACCGGCAACCTGTCGACCCTGGGCTGAGGGAGCAGGACCTCAGCGGTCAGCCGGGGTATGACGCTGCCATCAAGGCCTGGTCCAGGTTCCGATTCGTCAGGGCTGGCTGGTTCACCCCCGTCGAGGCCATCGACTACATTGCCTAGTATGTTGCCTATGCTCCTGGGCGCCGTGTGGCCACCTCGCAGCTTCGGGATTGCTGACAGGAGACGCGCAGCTACTACAGATACCTCTCCCCCCTCACGCCCATATCGCCGCCGACGTTCAGCGATCCTGCCAAGCACGTCAACCTCCTGACCGAGGAGCCCATCCTGTCGGTCACGCTCCTGACCATCGCGTCGAGGTACAAGCTCATGGGCGGCACGGGCGGGCACTGCCGGTCGCACGCCATCCACGAGCAGCTGTGGACGTACCTCCGGGGCATGATCGAGCGCTGCCTCTGGGGCCAGGAGGCCTTCGGCGGCGGCTTCTGCGGCTCCGGGTCCGCCACCGGGTCCACGTCGCTGACCATGGAGACGGAGTCGAGCAGCACCGCCCCCTGGAGGGGCATGCGGAAGGGCAGCCTCCGGACGCTGGGCACCATCGAGTCCCTCCTGATACTGACCGAGTGGCACCCGCGCGCGCTGCACTTCCCCCCGTCCGAGGTGACGGACGAGCTGATGCTGCCCGACTACGGCACGACGCCGAACCCGGTCGCGGCCGCCGCCTCGGCCATGGACGACGGCGACCAGAGCCACAACGTAGGCGCGGGATTCGGCGGCAAGAGGCTGGAGAGCTGGCTGGAGCCGGCGTGGCGGAGCGACCGCATGTGCTGGATGCTGCTCAGCACGGCCATGGGGCTGGGCTACGAGCTGGGCATCTTTGACGACATCGACGAGCTGCTGCGCGACGACGTGCTCACCCGGCCCGAGTACCAGGACCCGGCGTACCGGCAGAGGGCGAGCCGGATCAAGAGGCTGCTGCTCATCTACACGTCGCAGCTGGCGGGCCGCCTGGGCTGGACGAGCATGGCGCCCGAGCACATGCGCCGGGCGGACCCGGCGCTGTCGTGGCCCAACCCGGCGGCGAACGGCAGGAACGGCGGCGGGGAGAACGCCGACATGCCGTCGTCGTCGACGTCGGGCGGGCTCGGCTACGTCCTCGACCTGGAGCTGGACGACCAGATCATCCACTGCTGGGCGGGCATCAGCAACACGATGCACCTGGGCAACGAGAAGCTGTTCCGGTCGCACAAGCACACGGCCAACATCATCCAGACGGGCCAGTACGAGAATCTGCTGCGCGAGTTCGGCCCGCTGCTCAGGGGTTGGATGAAGGAGTTTGAGCACTTCCGCCTGCCGCCCTTCCTGCGCCACATCCTCACCATCGAATACGAGTACGTGCGCATCTACATCAACTCGCTGTCCCTGCAGGCCGTGGTGGAGCGGTGCACGAGCAACGCCAACCACCCAGCCGGAGCGGCGGCGGCGACGGCGGCGACGGCAGCCTCCGCGCACGGCGGCAGCGGCAACGCGGCCACGGCCCCGTCCCAGCTATCACCCCAGACGATACAGAACTTTGGCAAGCTCCCGCTCGGGCAGTTGGGCGGCTTCACCCTGCACGACCAGGAGTCCGTGCGCGAGGTGGTGGAGGGCTGCCGCAACCTCCTGCGCACGGTGGTGGAGGGCCTCCTCCCGGGGGACTACCTCAAGCACGCACCGGTGCGGACCTACTTCCGCATCATCAGCGGGGCCATGTTCCTCCTCAAGACGTTCGCGCTGGGGGCGCCCCGGTCGGACGTCAAGCTGAGCATCGACCTCATGGACGCCACCGTCGACGCCCTCCGCACCTGCGTCGTCGACGACGTCCACCTGGGCATCCGCTTCGCCGACCTCCTCGAGACGCTCACCAGCCGCCTGAGGAACAGGTTCATCCAGGCGCCCACCATGCAGGAGGCGTCCGCGGCGGCCGGAACGGTCACGGGATCAGGAGCGCGCACGCCGGTTGTCCCGACCGGTGCTGTCGACGTCGGCGGCGTGTCGGACGGTTCGGCCGGCTGGTCGGGTAGGCATGCGCAGAATCTGAGGGAAGAGCTGAACAGTCGTGAGTGCTTTTTTCGTTTTTTTTTTTTTTTTTTTTTTTTTTTTTTTTTTTTATTTTCCTGTGTTATTTTGGGTCCTGCTGGTACGTATCGCTCTCTCCGACTGGCGGGGCAAGTCACCTTCCCTTCCTTTGAAACCACGGAAACGACCGTTTTATATATGACAACTTGCTAACCTTCTCTGGCCCCCTCCCCCCTCCCCCCCCAAAAAAAAGGTCATTCCCGTCCCAAGACAGAAGGAGACAACATCTCGGCCACGCCATTCGACCTATCCACGGGAAACTTTCCCTACCCAGGCATAGGACTGATGGTACCGACGTCGACGGAACCAGACGGCGGCGACCCAGGACCACACGAACAGCAGCACGCCACGCTATCAGGGTCCAACGTGGACAGCAGCAGCGCCACCACCACCAACGCTGCCACTGCTACTGCTACCGGCACTACCGCCGCCGCCGCCGCCGCCGCCGCCGCCGCCGCTACCGGCAACAACAGCAACGGTCACGTACCCCCCACGGGGATAGACGCCGCCATGTTTGAGGAGTGGAACAATCCCGACAACGAGATGTGGTATCTGCCCACCGGACCAGCCTTCTTCCAGAACATGGAGGGAGGATCCGTCTCGATGACGGCCGAGGGCGTCAATGTCGGTGGGCTGGACCTGCTGGATTACATGGTCATGGATCCCGCTGCGTCTTTTCCAGATATAGGTCATGGTCA